TCATAGACAAAAAGAAATCTCTTTAGACGGCATTCCAAGTATTTCTTTTGATAACGAATGGGATCCAGTTTTAAATTGGCCTTACTGGAGGTTACCGTCAATAGATAGTCAAATGCCGTCGCAAGAAACAGATCTTTGAATGCATAAAAAAATAGTGTATCTATACGGCTATCATAACAGCTTCAATGCATTTAATGCAAAAAGGAAATAGGTTTCCAATGCGATTACTTAACCAATAAAAGATCAATCATGCTTCTGCGAAACGACATAATATTGTTTAAAAATTAACTTGAGAAATGTCCAGAAATTTCATAGCATTTATTTAGTTTAATATTTTGCAAAAATATTTTGTATTTATAAATTATAGATTCTATAAATTATAAATAATTATACAGAACTTTATTGATTTGTAAAATTGGATTCAATCAAGTGCTAAGGTCTTTGCTATTTCCAGCATTAGTTTTCTTTTTTTAAAATTATATTTTAACTATTATTTATAATAAAATAGGTGTTATTTTACTTCTTTTATACAACGTAACGAAAACAGCTAATTAAAATTTAATTAAATAATTATCCAATTTTAAACACTTCAATAAAAGTTTTGTAAAATACGTTCTGTTGATTTTATTTTAAGTTTCCAAAAGTAAAAACAAGGTAAGAAAAAAAATATTTTCTGACTTTTAAAATAAAATAAAGATTTTTTTGTTTTTTAATTTTTACTCATATTTTAATAATTTGAAAACCAGTTGAACATTTATTGCTTGAAATTTCATTCAAGTATTTTTTTATCCCATACTATGTATGTTTTGTAAAGGAGCTATTGCTACTACAAATTTTCTATTTCTAAAACTGCAGTTATTAAGAGTTGTTTTTGTTCGTCTACAGGGAAATTTTTTAAGTCAATGTGCTTATTTTAAAGTTATCAACATCGTGAGAAGTATTTTTCTATTACTTATCATTAAACTTTTAAATTTCAATTTAAAATTTTAATTTTATTAGAAAAAAAACTATTAACCTCCTGACACAGTTTTTTTTTTTTTTTTTGAAATTCAAATTGACTTTTTTATTTCAAATGGTTCCTAGATGGCAGTATATGAGTACTATAATTTGTATTTTATTTATTTTTTTTTTATTGTTTAAAAATTGTACATATATTATAAATACTTTTTTTAAATATTAAATTTTTTAGTTAACGCTTGATTGTTAATGATAAATATCTTATTAATAAATTTTTACGTGAAGCTATTGTATATTATTTTCATTTTAAAAATAGTTTTTATCAATCGTATTTAATTACGACTAAGTTTTATCGTAATTTGCGCTCTTATCGTTAAGTTCGAAAATTCGATATATCTAAAGTGGGGTCAAATACAAAGTAAAATTTTTTTTTGGTAGATAAAATTCTTTTTTATTCTAGTGACAGTCCGACTTTAAAAAGAATTTTTTGTAATAACTAAAATTTTGATAATTTGGAAATCGAACCTTCTTTCTCCTCTCTCCCTACCCCCTTTCCTACCCTCTCCTACCCCATCTTTTTTCTTATTTTCTGTTTAGGTTAATAATAATTTCTATATTGCAACTGCATTATAACATAAAAGTTTTCTCTTTTAAGAATATTATATATTGAATTTGGTTTATTATAAGTTGTTCGTCAAACAAGAGTAATACTGTTCATTAAAGTATTAATCTGAAAAATTTAATCTGAAAAACTTTAAAACAATTTTATTCTTAAAAAATTTCAACTTTTTAAATCTATCTAAACCACATATTAATTTCCCAAGATTTTTCTGTTACAATTTATCAGTCGTAATTCCATTATATTTATCAAATTGTTTATGTGAAAATGAATGCCATAATTTCTTTTTCAACTTTCTCCTAGTGGCTAATCAAAAAATTTAAACCGACAAGAATTTTCTTCAAACTGGGAACATTTTGATCCCAATTTTTAAAAAAAAACTGAATCCCATGTATTCTTTAACTCGACATAATAGTTCAACAATAAAAAATTTTGAACTATTTGTTATTGAACTCGCAAATGTCAAGACAACTTGTAGAATAAATACATGTCGTTCCCCAGTTAAAGAAAATCTTTAACTGGGGAACGAAGAAAGTCTGAGTTATTTTTAATGTCTTTGAATTTTTTAACTAATTATATACTGTAAACCATTAGAATTGAGTAATCTTTTGAAAAATAATCTTTTAATTTTACTTTCAAAGTTTGTACTCTTTTGAAAACATGGACCAATATTTGGTTTAATTTTAAACCATGCTCTGAACTTTTTTGGGGATTTAAGACTTGAGTTCCAGTTCAGCTCAGATCATCGAGTGATCCATAACAACTTTTCGTACAGTTTGATATCTTATCTATGAAATTGTGTGCATTTGTATATTAACCTTATATGACAAAAGCATTTTTTTAAATATACTTGTTCATGCAAATGTTTATGTTAAAAAATTATTTTAAAATTTATTGCCCACCTTTTGGTGAAATCAAACACTTAAAATCATTTGTATGCAATGACTCTATTACAAAATGCAATCTTGAAAAGAATTTTATCTACTTATTGGGGATCTGAATTTAGATTGATTTTAATACCTCGTTTATAATAGTATTAAATAGTTTTATAGTGCATATTTAAAACATTTTAATGTTAAACGGGGCGGTTCTTTTTATTAGCGAACCGACCGAAATTACTCAATCAATAACCTTTTTATTGATAATATTTTTACGGTGTAAGAGTAGACGCTTTTTAACAAGATTTTTCATGATTGAAAAAGTTAAACAAACTTTTAAGCCATCAATTGAATTAAATTATGCAAGAGCCCTAACTAGCATTTGCGCTTGTTGTCGTTTTAGTCTTAGGGAGCTTCGAGTGTAAAAGCTTTAAACTGAGCCAATGCTTTTTGACTTCTCAACTATAAAAGTTCACCCTTTTACAAGAAATTGCGTTTGTGGTTGTTTAATTTGCACAGTTGGCGCTAAGTACAATTCCCTTTTCAAAATTTACTCTGCAAAAGAATTTAGAAAAAATCATTGTAGGCCAATCAAATTAAAAATTTAGAATCTGAGGCAGCTGGAAGAGGTGCAGCATTAGTTATTACCAAAAAAGAAGCGTCACCTATAAGAACATTTCGTCCAAGTAGGCCTGAGGGATTAAGAGTCAACTCGATTCTAGTTTTTCCATGTAGTATTTTAATCAGACATTAAAAGTTGTGACTGTTTTTTAAAGTTATTGTTTTTTATACAAGTATACGATTTCTTAAAGTTACTTTAAAGGTTCCTTTTTAAGAGTTCGGAGTCTCTTCAATAGAAAACCACAAATAAACGAATAGAGATCCTGTTCATGTGAAGCATAACACAGAGCTATCAAATTCTTGGGCAGAAAAGCTGGTATCAAGTCTAAATTAAGTTGTTTCAAGTCTGATTGTTGAGAAAATCTTATACTCCAAGTTTGATCAGTTGAGAAAAAAAACTTTAATCAAACTTGTTTGATTCATAAAGCTCGTTTTTAAGCTCATTTAATCAAACTTGTTTGACAAGGGGCAAATCCTATTGCTTATTGATCGAAAGACTTTCAATTGCTTTCTCAACAAGTACTTTAAACAAGAAACTTTTCTCACAACTACATTATGAAATTAAGAGTTGATTATGGTTGTGGTTTTCTAAAAGTGAGATTTGGAATCACGGAAAAGATTTAACATAAAATCCCCCTTCAAAACAACTTTTCATTGATTCCTTGTTAGAAGATTTTGATGTTAAACATCAGTTTCTAATTGGCATTACTAAAAATCTAAAGAAAACTATAGCAGCGTCAACCGAGATTTGGATCTGTTGACCCTTAACTTCCCTTTGTTTTTTCCTGTGATATGAATCTGGGTAATATAGTTTACGGTTTGTAAGTAACATTTTTGTGCACACCTATGTGTACAAAAATGTTACTTACAAACCGTTAAGTATATTTAAAAGTATGTTAAGTATATAAGAAAGTCTTTTTATGCCTCAAAAGACTTTCTATCAGTGCGGATCTCCAAAAACTTTTGAATCAATCAGGAGAGACTTTCAGGCATTTAGTATGGCTGATGCATCAAGAAGGAAAGTGAGTTCAGTCTATGTACTTATCATCAATGCCTCTAATAGATTTATTTGTTAGGAGTCATTTCTTGATAGACGACTAACTGGAAATGAGTGCAGGAATCTTATTAATAATTTAAATGTCTTAAAGAGACT